CTTGTATTACGTACAAAAACAAATTTATATGTGGTTGTTGTTACGATTGTTGTACAACACTTGCTGTTACCTGTATTTTTCTACCATGTACCATGGTATGTATCATGGTACAATAAAGTGCTTTGTGCGTATTATAGCTGTATGTTGTTTTTCTTAATGAATTTTCACAATTCATTAAAGTGTTCACTGGAGAAAGTTTTGAGAATCGCTGGTAAGTCCGAAAAAATCGTGAAAATATTGTAATTTAACCGCTGTTGTATCTAGGGCATACAAAGATTTGGTGATTATCGGTGTTTGGCACATTGCAGATTTCGCATATGTTGGAATTTTCAGCCTTTATTAAAAACAGGTAATTTTTGCCATAGGTGAGGTCTGTGAAAAGTCGATTAATGAGTTTTATGTTCCCAGGAGATAGGTTAGTGCCGGCAAACCAGTGACGAGTTGGCGGTCCAGGAAAAAATTGGGAGAAGTATTTGCCTTTTGTAGCTATGATATTTTTGTAATTTTCGTTCCGTTCTCTCCATAGGTGTTGAAAAACTAATGAATAGCCATCCTTTATGGCCAGCTTAGTGGATATGGGTGCCCCGACATGAGCTGCGCATTTTGCAAAGAAGTCTGCCCGTTCATTGGCCGGAATACCAATATGTGAAGGAGTCCAGATGAAAGTGAGTAGAGATATGTTACTATTGTTGACCTTTTTGATAATATCATTGCCGAATTATTTTTGAGAATTTAACACGCATTCTTGCTGTCAGTTAGCATGGTTGCCTTATTGACTTTGTCTTCAATCATTATATCAATCGCTTTGTTTATTGTAGATTTAAATTTGCCGAATCAAAGTCTTTGTGAGCAGATAACAAAATAAAGTCATCCGCAAATTGAAAAAGATAAGTGTTGATGTTGGAAATTCCGTGTAAGCCCAAAGTGTATATGTTGAAAAGAAAAGGACTTAAACAACTGCCTTGGGTTAGTCCATTGTATATTTCGAGTGAATCATCTCCCATTACGAGTATTCGATGACTTAGAAAGTTGATTATCCAATCTGTAACTTCGGGTGAGCATTCGATCTCCTGCAGAATTTTGTGGAGTATTTCTATTTTGACGCAATCATAGGCTTTTTCAACATCCAAAAAAAGAATAATTACTTTTTCACCCATATTTTTGTGATAATTAATAGTGTGCAGAATGTTGTTCATACACATAGACGAGGACATGTGTCAAAGACATAGAAGTATAAAGATGGGACAAGACAGAGTCAAAATATTGTCACCAGGTGTACATACCTCTGGTGTTACGATATCATAACAACATAATCACTAATGTTAAGTTGTTTTAACAGCAAATGCAATTTTCAATTAATCAAAAACGTCAATGAAATGCAATTTTGAGTCCAAATTTTTGGTTTACAGAAAATATTTTTCGTAAAATTGATCTGTAAATATGATTTTTATGCTAACATGCCATTGTGTGAGCAGCACCCCTATATATTTCATATAAACTATGTTTCCATAATGCATTTTGTCCAGTCTTTACCATTTAAGGTCTTTGCATGTGTTTTCTATATGCATAAGTTGTGTGGGGCAGTATATTGTTATCATCAATAAATTTTTGCAAACGTTCTTTAATTATCAGATTAATTATTTTTAGAGGAACTGAGATGAGAGCTATTGGTCTATAGTTAGTAAAAACATCCAGATTTTTTCCATTCTTTGGTATTGGTACAATTTTGATTTTTCTCCAGTCTTCTCTTATTTTACATGTTTTCCATAACTGGTTTATTGCTTTAAAAAAGGAAGCTTTCGCAGAGTCTGATAAATGATTTATCATATTATAAGAAATACCATCCAAACCAGCAGCGGGCGGCTTCTTTTTAATTTTAAGGACTAGGAGAAATTAATCGATTATTAGATCTGTACGATTTGTTTCGGAAGATAAAGCAAACTTAATTGGAAGATTGTCAGAGACTTGTTCTCTGAGGTGAGATAAAAACCGCTTGTTGTTGTCGGAAGACCATTTGCTTTTGCTTTGAGATGATAGAAAACTTTTGCAGCCACGAACAAACTGAAAAAGTGATTTAGAACTGGGTTCTTTGTTTAAATTTTGTATTTTTTCCTTGAAGGAGTGTTTTTTGGCATATTGCACGACGTTTTTAAAATTTTTGATCGTTTTTATTAAATTTCTAGCATTGATCTCATTATTATGCAGATCGTAAGTTTTTTGAGCTGCTAATTGAAGACGGTATTGTTTCTCTACACATGGGTCCCACCAGATTTTTGGTGTTTTTTGGTTTTCCTTTAAAGTGTAGGTAGAGTTCTTGATTTCCGCTGTTATTTTGGATTGAATTTCATCGAAGTTGTCATTAAGAGACAGTTTCCCCAGGTTTCGTAACAATTGTTTTTTTGCTAAAAATTTTTGCCCTTTATTTTTGATAGTGTTGAAAGTTAGTGTTATTGGGAAGTGATGGCTTCCTCCAATTATAGCATTGAAAATTTTCCATTGTATTTGAAGGTTGGAATTGGAAAATGAAAGATCCAAAACAGAACCGTTCAAATCCGTAATAGTTTTTTTAAACGTATATCCTCCATCGTTTAAGCATCGAAAATTCGTAGCATCAAAGATTTCTTTTATAGTCTTTCCACGTTGTGAGACATATATATCTCCATAAGCAGAATGTCTGGCATTAAAGTCTCCGCATATGAGAATATTTGGGCGATTTTCTACCAAGGATATTAATTTCACTAGTTCATTTTTTATTGTAGCACATTTGACAGAGTGTGGAAAGTATACAGACACTAATGTTAAATTGTTTGTTAGGTTGGTAGTTTGACAAATTAGTGTGTCGAGAGGAGTTTAGCTACTCCGCCGTAGTTATCACTTCTTTTTTTTGACATTATTTTATAATCTTGAAAAGTTGATAAATTTTTGTTTTCATCGATATTAAATATTTCACTTAATATGTCTGTATTTAGCTTTTTAGGTGGAATTCAAAAATTTTTTGTTTTTTTGTTAAACTTTGTACGTTGTATTGTAGTAGATTCATATTAATTTATTTATTTATTAAAAATTGCAGGATGTGAGTCGTCTGTGGGGACTGTAATTTTGGTTCCTGTTAAAAAGCTGTTTGTTGCAAATGGAAGCAGTGACTGCTGGAAACTTTTTAGTACATTTAAGCCTTCTGTGCTATTAAGAGATGTGAGTATCTTTGACATTTCTTTTGCAAAAAGATTAAGAGTTTTTTTCTAATTCTGTAACTTTAGAGAAATTATCTTGGCTGAAGGTGGGCTTGGAAGGCGATATTTGGATTGGATCGGCAATGGCGTGACGTATTTGAATTCTGGGTGAAGCAACTTGGCTATATTTTGTTTTTGTAACTCTTTTGTTTATTTCTTCATAAACACTTCTTTTTGGTGCACTGTTTTTTATTAGAGGGGGGAATGCATTATTGTATTTTTCTTCTGAAAGAATTTGGAAGCGATTTTGTGTTTCAGGATACTTCTGAACAACTTCCTTTCTTGACAGATTGGAGAGGGCCATGATACTCCTTATTTTTTTCGGATTTCCATTTTGGGCATTTACTGGAATCTGTAGCGAAATGATCAATACTGCTGCATAGGATGCAACGCGGGGAGCTGCATATATCTTTGCATGTAGTACTTGAGCGACAATCTTGACATTTTTGTTCTTTTGGACACTTGTTGGGACCTGCATTGACCTGCAACGAATAGCTATGTGTCCTAGACGTCCACAGTTCAAGCAGAGACGTACTAGTGGCACATACAGTTCCGGGGTTATTTTGGTTCCACACATGAATATTTCGGTAGGTACACCATCGTATATGATACCAATTTTGATAGTTTCGGTATATTCCAGAGTATTATTTTCATTTTTCCTTGTGAAACGATAAACTGAGACAACATCCATATCGTTATTAGCTTCTATTTGTTGCTTAATGGTAATGGCTGAGATACTTTTTGGTACGTTTTTAATGATGTAAAAGCGCTGAACAAATCTTTCAGGAATGAATGCTTTTAAGCCTATTTGCTTTAAGTTCTTATTTTGCGCAAAATTTTTCGCTGAGTTAGCATTATTAAAGGTTAATCTAAATGTGTTATAACCAATGTTTTTGCAGGCATAATCCATAACATTAATTTTTTGGAATTTGGCATAAAGGTGCAATTCGCAATTTTTCCTCCTTGTGCTTATTGGAGTTTCTGAAGAAACTAGAACAAAAAAAGGGCCAGGATGATACGTGGAATACAAAATGGATTCTTTTTTTAGGATCCCCTACTCCCCCCATTTTAAATTCTTTAAAATTATATTTTTAATTTAAATATGGTGTGAAACACTTGTTTTAAATTAAAAACGAAGACCGAGAAAAACCATTTGTAAGTGTGTGTGTGTTTGCAGGTTTTGGTTTGTTGTTGTTGATGTTAAAAATGAAAGGTAAGCGACCAGCGGGAGAGAGTAGTCTAATGTCAACAAAAGTTGAAGAGCGACTGTTATGTAGTTTTACGAAGCTATTCTACCTCCTTAATGTACCAGCTTAAAGCTGCAGGTACATAAAACTGGAAATACATAAAGCGCATATTTGCTGGCTTAAGTCATCGGCTGGCTTCTTCGTAGATGAACAAAGGAAGTTTAGGTTGACTTAGTTCGATTTTGGCCCTAGGCTCCTTTGTTCATTTCCGAAGAAGCCAGCCGATGAACAAAGGAGCCTAGGGTCAAAATCGAACTAAGTCAACCTAAAACTCCTTTGTTCCTCTACGAAGAAGCCAGCCGATGACTTAAGCCAGCAAATATGCGCTTTATGTATTTCCAGTTTTATGTACCTGCAGCTTTAAGCTGGTACATTAAGGAGGTAGAATAGCTTCGTAAAACTACATAACAGTCGCTCTTCAACTTTTTTTTTTAGGTGGAATTCAAAAATTTTTTGTTTTTTTGTTAAACTTTGTACGTTGTATTGTAGTAGATTCATATTAATTTATTTATTTATTAAAAATTGCAGGATGTGAGTCGTCTGTGGGGACTGTAATTTTGGTTCCTGTTAAAAAGCTGTTTGTTGCAAATGGAAGCAGTGACTGCTGGAAACTTTTTAGTACATTTAAGCCTTCTGTGCTATTAAGAGATGTGAGTATCTTTGACATTTCTTTTGCAAAAAGATTAAGAGTTTTTTTCTAATTCTGTAACTTTAGAGAAATTATCTTGGCTGAAGGTGGGCTTGGAAGGCGATATTTGGATTGGATCGGCAATGGCGTGACGTATTTGAATTCTGGGTGAAGCAACTTGGCTATATTTTGTTTTTGTAACTCTTTTGTTTATTTCTTCATAAACACTTCTTTTTGGTGCACTGTTTTTTATTAGAGGGGGGAATGCATTATTGTATTTTTCTTCTGAAAGAATTTGGAAGCGATTTTGTGTTTCAGGATACTTCTGAACAACTTCCTTTCTTGACAGATTGGAGAGGGCCATGATACTCCTTATTTTTTTCGGATTTCCATTTTGGGCATTTACTGGAATCTGTAGCGAAATGATCAATACTGCTGCATAGGATGCAACGCGGGGAGCTGCATATATCTTTGCATGTAGTACTTGAGCGACAATCTTGACATTTTTGTTCTTTTGGACACTTGTTGGGACCTGCATTGACCTGCAACGAATAGCTATGTGTCCTAGACGTCCACAGTTCAAGCAGAGACGTACTAGTGGCACATACAGTTCCGGGGTTATTTTGGTTCCACACATGAATATTTCGGTAGGTACACCATCGTATATGATACCAATTTTGATAGTTTCGGTATATTCCAGAGTATTATTTTCATTTTTCCTTGTGAAACGATAAACTGAGACAACATCCATATCGTTATTAGCTTCTATTTGTTGCTTAATGGTAATGGCTGAGATACTTTTTGGTACGTTTTTAATGATGTAAAAGCGCTGAACAAATCTTTCAGGAATGAATGCTTTTAAGCCTATTTGCTTTAAGTTCTTATTTTGCGCAAAATTTTTCGCTGAGTTAGCATTATTAAAGGTTAATCTAAATGTGTTATAACCAATGTTTTTGCAGGCATAATCCATAACATTAATTTTTTGGAATTTGGCATAAAGGTGCAATTCGCAATTTTTCCTCCTTGTGCTTATTGGAGTTTCTGAAGAAACTAGAACAAAAAAAGGGCCAGGATGATACGTGGAATACAAAATGGATTCTTTTTTTAGGATCCCCTACTCCCCCCATTTTAAATTCTTTAAAATTATATTTTTAATTTAAATATGGTGTGAAACACTTGTTTTAAATTAAAAACGAAGACCGAGAAAAACCATTTGTAAGTGTGTGTGTGTTTGCAGGTTTTGGTTTGTTGTTGTTGATGTTAAAAATGAAAGGTAAGCGACCAGCGGGAGAGAGTAGTCTAATGTCAACAAAAGTTGAAGAGCGACTGTTATGTAGTTTTACGAAGCTATTCTACCTCCTTAATGTACCAGCTTAAAGCTGCAGGTACATAAAACTGGAAATACATAAAGCGCATATTTGCTGGCTTAAGTCATCGGCTGGCTTCTTCGTAGATGAACAAAGGAAGTTTAGGTTGACTTAGTTCGATTTTGGCCCTAGGCTCCTTTGTTCATTTCCGAAGAAGCCAGCCGATGAACAAAGGAGCCTAGGGTCAAAATCGAACTAAGTCAACCTAAAACTCCTTTGTTCCTCTACGAAGAAGCCAGCCGATGACTTAAGCCAGCCAAATATGCGCTTTATGTATTTCCAGCCTAAGAAGCTTGAAGTCATGGCTAGGCACAAGGTAGATCTAACAGGTAACCGCATCGGCGAATTGCTACAACAAAGCAACTTTTGTGGTCCCCTCAAATGTCAAAATTGGCATCTAAGGCGAAAAACATAGATTCGCCATGACATTTAAAGGTTGCGGCAAATTCAACCAATCAGAAACGATGTGTTTGTTGAGGCTAACTTAATTCTTAAAGCTGCACTCCATTCTAACCTCCTTCCTTCATTTTCTTTTAATTTTTTTTTACTGGTTTCACCCTTAACTTGTTCTTAAATTATTTGAAATATTATAAAAAGGTACTTTTAGGGAAGACAACATAAACAAATTTGTTGTTGCATTCATTTAGGGCGAATTCTTCATTACAACAATTTGTTTTGACATTTAATGGTGCCGTCAGCTGGGCTGATGCGATTACCTAGTACATCTACCTTGGCTAGGCATATTTTGTAACATTTCATAAAGGGAGTACAGAGTCGCACTAAAATCCTGCCGTCGTTATCCATTATAATTTGACATTAATATGCCTAGCCTTGACATCAAGCCTTTTAGGCTGGAACTACATAAAGAGCATATTTGGCTGGCTTAAGTCATCGGCTGGCTTCTTCGTAGATGAACAAAGGAAGTTTAGGTTGACTTAGTTCGATTTTGGCCCTAGGCTCCTTTGTTCATTTCCGAAGAAGCCAGCCGATGACTTCAGCCAGCCAGATAAGCGCTTTATGTATTTCCACCCTTATGTATTTTATATACTTGTACCCTTAAACTCGTTACAAAAAAATTGTCAGCGTAATGCTAGGAACAGAATTGGAGCGAACGACGAATTTTTCGCGGCTTATGTTCGTCGTCAAAAATAAAAAACATATGTGTACATGGAAATGCACACAATCACGGCGCCGGCGAAAATTTCGTCGGACGCCGCGAACTCAATTAGCTTTATTTCTATTTCATACGCAGGCGAATGGCGAACAAAACAATACAAGGTGGCCATACTCCCACGAATTTTATGTGTTTTAGTAAATAAAGTTACTTTTAACTTTAAAATTTGTTATGGTCACTCTACTATCTGTTACTCGTATAAAAAACATAATTAATTTGTTTATTTATTTGTGTACTTGCGCCTGAGTGAAGATGGATATCAGTTAATTTATAATAGAGAAGATGGACATAAGTGAAATTATAATAGAGAATGTAAAGAATTATGAGTTCTTGTATTATTTGGCTTCAAAAGACTACAAGAATGTTCAAAAAAGCAAGCAGATAAGCTTTTACTATAATATACATTATGTTCATTATTTTAACAATTTTAATAAACTTTACAATTCTCTGATTCATTGTAGTCAACAAATGAGCAAAAAGTAAACAACTTCATCAGCTGTTTTATAATTTCGTCGGTATTGTCGCCGCGTAGGGCGAAATTCGTCTTTCGCTCCAATTGTGTTCCTAGAATAAGTTTTTGCTTTAGTACAGAATCCATATATCAGGTATTGTGAAGATTTTAGTAACACTTTTAGCTGGTAATTCTGGGTGTTTGATCCCTAAAGGCAGACCAAAAGTAAATCTTAATTGGAGGCTTACACAAGAACTAACATCCTTGAGATGAAAGAGAAATCAAACACATAAATCATAAAACATATGATCTTCGCCTTAATAAGGCAAAACTCGAAAGTAAATTTGGTTTTCTCTCTCATCCGAGGTGTGCATTTTGTCCACGAGTCGAAATTTCCACAGAAAACTGAAAACAAAATAGGCAATATTTTCAAAATGGTTGTATCGGCAGAAAAAACGTTTGACAAGTGTCTCTCCAGCAGAATTTAAAAATAGAAACATACAAAAATATGTTCAAAATGTCAACATTTACACAAAATTTCTTCTATTCATATTAGTGAGAGTTTCATGTATTTTCGTATAAATTCCCATTAAAATCAACAAACAAAATTTTTGAAAAAAGGAATTTTTTTTGCTATGAATTACGAATCGAGAGAACAATTTTGGGATAAAACTGTATTGTCCTTCTATTTCATATTCAATCTTGGGGAATTACCCAAAAATTACCCATTCCATTCGCTGGTTTTCACCAATATAAGAATTTGGTTCAAAAATTAAAAATAAACAAAACCAACTGTTGCATATTTAGAAGTCTATTTGACATATAAGTCTCCAGCACAGAGTTGCATTTTTCTAGTTTCTCTGAAGTTGAGCAGCAATTAAACAGTTTAGCCATAAAAGTGAAAGACTGAATAGTTTAGATCATATTTTTGAAAGAAAATCCAAACATTTCATTCATTTTTCGCGCCATTTAACTCATTTTAAAAATGGGGGAAAATATGAACAAAAAAAATTAAAACAACTTGTTGTATATAATTTAGAATGAGTCTGACAGGAAGCGGGCTTAGCCTCAGGGCCATGGCCCAATTATTAGGTCTTCCTTCGAGCGAATTAATCTAAAAACAGCTGTTATTTTATCAGATGAAATGTCAAAATTCATGCTTGAGGCGAAAATAAATATATTCGCCTTGACAGAAGATTTTTGTGCCGAATTTGTTTGTTGTCAATTTTTTGTATGTATAACAGCTCTGCATTTTTCAACAACTTTTAGAAAGTTGAATAACTTTTCATTTAAAATTTTCAATTTAAAAATTGGTTTGACAGTTCATTGCCCCAGCAACTATGCGATGCTATCTGTATTCTTTTACAATAGTTTTGAAGTTTTTGGTTGCAGCGAATGAAAATTTAATTGACAGATTGTTTGGTAATCAGCTGAGCTGGAAGGGGGACCTTATACTTTGATCATGCTCAGGGCTGTATTTCTGTAGTTTTACGAAGCTGGTCCGCATCCTTAATGAGATAATGAGAACCGGATAATGAGAACTTTATACTTCACTTTTCCTACTTTCACTAAAGTAAGGGATAACAAATGTGGACTATAAAGGAATATATAAAAACGGGCCTATGTATTTGATGCAGGGTATCATACTGTCGGCGCAGCTTAACTTTTGTCTTTTCCATACTCGTTAAAATATGTAGTTGACAAGGACGGATCAAATGAAGCTGCTAACTTGAAGGCTCTGTCTTGAACCAAACCAAAAATACCTTTTTATCTTTTAAAGAATGCTTTTCGTTTCCAAAATACGTCCCAATACGGAAGGTTCTACTCCAAACGACACACGAACGAAAACAAAAACTATATCAAAAGACACTACACATAGTTGTTGTTGCCAGATTGTAATTTTTTGTTTTCGAGGTTTTGAAAGTGTTCTGAACATAATTCCATTCATTTTTTATTCAAACGACTAACTTGATAATACGATTTGCTGCCTCAAAAACATGCCATCGGCCCCATTGTGGAATGATTGAATTTAATATCGCTTCATTTTTAAACGAATTGGTATTAAGGTGGGAATACATAAAGCGCTTATATGCCTGGCTTAAGTCGTCGGTTGGCTTCTTCGGAAATGAACCAAGGAGCCTAGGTCCAAAATCGAACTAAGTCAACCTAAAACTCCTTTTTCATCAATTGTAAGGTCTTCTTTCGAGCGAATTTATCTAAAAACAGCTGTTATTTTATCAGATGAAATGTCAAAAGGCATGCTTGAGGCGAAAATAAATATTTTCGCTTTGACGGAAGAATTTTGAGGCAAATATGTTTTTCGTCATTTTTTTTATGTATCATGGTAGAAGAATATTCTTCTACCATGGTCATGGTACAATTATTACAGGTAACAGTAAGTCCCAGCTGGTTTGACTCTATAGTAATACTCATGGTAGAAGAATATAGGTAGACGCATTGACACAGCTGCTGGGACAATGAACTGTCAAACCAATTTTGAAATTGAAAATGTTGAATGAAAAATTATTTAAATTTGCAAAAATTGTTGAAAAACACGAATTATAATAACCTCTGAATGACGTCGTATAAGAAAACATATTAAAATCTACTTATATTTTAAAGAACATTTACATTTTTTTGACATATCAATGCTCCCAAGCGTTGATGCATCTACCTGTATTCTTCTGCCATGGTAATACTAGTGTCAAAGTCGATATGAGATTTTGTGATTTAATTCCTTTTCTTGATATACAATAGGTATGCTTTTTTTGATATAAAATTTCACTGCAGGGCAATGTGAACATATTTTTTGCCTAATAATAAGAAAATCGCCGTTGTACTTTACTAAAAGCCAAAAGCGATGGTTCGGAAACTTATTTTGCGGTTAAGGAACAGCGATACCACATTAGATAATATATTCCTATATTTCATGTTTCCTAAAATTGCGAAATGTAGAATACTTTATGTATGCATGCTGATTGATTTCGACTTGAAAGGGATGTTGGCTTTTTCGCGATTTTCTAGCGATTGCTTGAAGTGTTGAGAGATTAGGACCAACAGCTAACAACTATACAGGGTTGCCCATATTCGACGGACCTTTGGGCCCATTCCAATCGACGAGGCTTGTCCGCAGGCAATATTCTTTGCGTCAATTGAATTTTGTACGGGAACAAATGCAAATCCGTTGTACAGTGGGCCGAGCCATGCCCAACTGCTGAGAATGGCGTTTTTGGGATATTCTTGGGGACCTCTCAAAACTGGCTCGTACGGCAGCGATATTCTCGGCCGATCGCCTTGGTCGACTTTTATATGGCCTCTTCGGATTAGAAAGAGCCTTACCAGTCGAAAATTTTTCGTATAAACGCTTAATGGTGTCTTAGAAGGCGCACTTCTCACATTTTTTTTTTCACAATTGACTTCTTCTGTTGTCGCGTGGCGCTTATTGGTTCATGGTAAAAATCTGCTTAGACTGACGCTTCAAACGCGGTATGTCATTATGCGATGTGACATCTCTGTTAAAAGTTATGGCGTTGCCAGATGGGTCCGTCGAATATGGGCAACCCTGTACATTCAGGGGAATGATGTGAAAGCATTAAAATTAAATATTTTAAGAACTATACTTCTGCATTTTCAATTTAATAATCCAAATTCCAAAAATATATGTTTTTAAATTAAGATAATTTATTGAAAATTAATTATTTTGTTTACATTTTTGGACACATAACTCTGACACTTGTATTACGTACAAAAACAAATTTATATGTGGTTGTTGTTACGATTGTTGTACAACACTTGCTGTTACCTGTATTTTTCTACCATGTACCATGGTATGTATCATGGTACAATAAAGTGCTTTGTGCGTATTATAGCTGTATGTTGTTTTTCTTAATGAATTTTCACAATTCATTAAAGTGTTCACTGGAGAAAGTTTTGAGAATCGCTGGTAAGTCCGAAAAAATCGTGAAAATATTGTAATTTAACCGCTGCTGTATCTAGGGCATACAAAGATTTGGTGATTATCGGTGTTTGGCACATTGCAGATTTCGCATATGTTGGAATTTTCAGCCTTTATTAAAAACAGGTAATTTTTGCCATAGGTGAGGTCTGTGAAAAGTCGATTAATGAGTTTTATGTTCCCAGGAGATAGGTTAGTGCCGGCAAACCAGTGACGAGTTGGCGGTCCAGGAAAAAATTGGGAGAAGTATTTGCCTTTTGTAGCTATGATATTTTTGTAATTTTCGTTCCGTTCTCTCCATAGGTGTTGAAAAACTAATGAATAGCCATCCTTTATGGCCAGCTTAGTGGATATGGGTGCCCCGACATGAGCTGCGTATTTTGCAAAGAAGTCTGCCCGTTCATTGGCCGGAATACCAATATGTGAAGGAGTCCAGATGAAAGTGAGTAGAGATATGTTACTATTGTTGACCTTTTTGATAATATCATTGCCGAATTATTTTTGAGAATTTAACACGCATTCTTGCTGTCAGTTAGCATGGTTGCCTTATTGACTTTGTCTTCAATCATTATATCAATCGCTTTGTTTATTGTAGATTTAAATTTGCCGAATCAAAGTCTTTGTGAGCAGATAACAAAATAAAGTCATCCGCAAATTGAAAAAGATAAGTGTTGATGTTGGAAATTCCGTGTAAGCCCAAAGTGTATATGTTGAAAAGAAAAGGACTTAAACAACTGCCTTGGGTTAGTCCATTGTATATTTCGAGTGAATCATCTCCCATTACGAGTATTCGATGACTTAGAAAGTTGATTATCCAATCTGTAACTTCGGGTGAGCATTCGATCTCCTGCAGAATTTTGTGGAGTATTTCTATTTTGACGCAATCATAGGCTTTTTCAACATCCAAAAAAAGAATAATTACTTTTTCACCCATATTTTTGTGATAATTAATAGTGTGCAGAATGTTGTTCATACACATAGACGAGGACATGTGTCAAAGACATAGAAGTATAAAGATGGGACAAGACAGAGTCAAAATATTGTCACCAGGTGTACATACCTCTGGTGTTACGATATCATAACAACATAATCACTAATGTTAAGTTGTTTTAACAGCAAATGCAATTTTCAATTAATCAAAAACGTCAATGAAATGCAATTTTGAGTCCAAATTTTTGGTTTACAGAAAATATTTTTCGTAAAATTGATCTGTAAATATGATTTTTATGCTAACATGCCATTGTGTGAGCAGCACCCCTATATATTTCATATAAACTATGTTTCCATAATGCATTTTGTCCAGTCTTTACCATTTAAGGTCTTTGCATGTGTTTTCTATATGCATAAGTTGTGTGGGGCAGTATATTGTTATCATCAATAAATTTTTGCAAACGTTCTTTAATTATCAGATTAATTATTTTTAGAGGAACTGAGATGAGAGCTATTGGTCTATAGTTAGTAAAAACATCCAGATTTTTTCCATTCTTTGGTATTGGTACAATTTTGATTTTTCTCCAGTCTTCTCTTATTTTACATGTTTTCCATAACTGGTTTATTGCTTTAAAAAAGGAAGCTTTCGCAGAGTCTGATAAATGATTTATCATATTATAAGAAATACCATCCAAACCAGCAGCGGGCGGCTTCTTTTTAATTTTAAGGACTAGGAGAAATTAATCGATTATTAGATCTGTACGATTTGTTTCGGAAGATAAAGCAAACTTAATTGGAAGATTGTCAGAGACTTGTTCTCTGAGGTGAGATAAAAACCGCTTGTTGTTGTCGGAAGACCATTTGCTTTTGCTTTGAGATGATAGAAAATTTTTGCAGCCACGAACAAACTGAAAAAGTGATTTAGAACTGGGTTCTTTGTTTAAATTTTGTATTTTTTCCTTGAAGGAGTGTTTTTTGGCATATTGCACGACGTTTTTAAAATTTTTGATCGTTTTTATTAAATTTCTAGCATTGATCTCATTATTATGCAGATCGTAAGTTTTTTGAGCTGCTAATTGAAGACGGTATTGTTTCTCTACACATGGGTCCCACCAGATTTTTGGTGTTTTTTGGTTTTCCTTTAAAGTGTAGGTAGAGTTCTTGATTTCCGCTGTTATTTTGGATTGAATTTCATCGAAGTTGTCATTAAGAGACAGTTTCCCCAGGTTTCGTAACAATTGTTTTTTTGCTAAAAATTTTTGCCCTTTATTTTTGATAGTGTTGAAAGTTAGTGTTATTGGGAAGTGATGGCTTCCTCCAATTATAGCATTGAAAATTTTCCATTGTATTTGAAGGTTGGAATTGGAAAATGAAAGATCCAAAACAGAACCGTTCAAATCCGTAATAGTTTTTTTTAAACGTATATCCTCCATCGTTTAAGCATCGAAAATTCGTAGCATCAAAGATTTCTTTTATAGTCTTTCCACGTTGTGAGACATATATCTCCATAAGCAGAATGTCTGGCATTAAAGTCTCCGCATATGAGAATATTTGGGCGATTTTCTACCAAGGATATTAATTTCACTAGTTCATTTTTTATTGTAGCACATTTGACAGAGTGTGGAAAGTATACAGACACTAATGTTAAATTGTTTGTTAGGTTGGTAGTTTGACAAATTAGTGTGTCGAGAGGAGTTTCAAAAGGAATCTTTTTATATTGGATATTGTTTTTAAAGAGTATAGCTACTCCGCCGTAGTTATCACTTCTTTTTTTTGACATTATTTTATAATCTTGAAAAGTTGATAAATTTTTGTTTTCATCGATATTAAATATTTCACTTAATATGTCTGTATTTAGCTTTTTAGGTGGAATTCAAAAATTTTTTGTTTTTTTGTTAAACTTTGTACGTTGTATTGTAGTAGATTCATATTAATTTATTTATTTATTAAAAATTGCAGGATGTGAGTCGTCTGTGGGGACTGTGATTTTGGTTCCTGTTAAAAAGCTGCTTGTTGCAAATGGAAGCAGTGACTGCTGGAAACTTTTTAGTACATTTAAGCCTTCTGTGCTATTAAGAGATGTGAGTATCTTTGACATTTCTTTTGCAAAAAGATTAAGAGTTTTTTTCTAATTCTGTAACTTTAGAGAAATTATCTTGGCTGGAGGTGGGCTTGGAAGGCGATATTTGGATTGGATCGGCAATGGCGTGACGTATTTGAATTCTGGGTGAAGCAACTTGGCTATATTTTGTTTTTGTAACTCTTTTGTTTATTTCTTCATAAACACTTCTTTTTGGTGCACTGTTTTTTATTAGAGGGGGGAATGCATTATTGTATTTTTCTTCTGAAAGAATTAGGAAGCGATTTTGTGTTTCAGGATACTTCTGAACAACTTCCTTTCTTGACAGATTGGAGAGGGCCATGATACTCCTTATTTTTTTCGGATTTCCATTTTGGGCATTTACTGGAATCTGTAGCGAAATGATCAATACTGCTGCATAGGATGCAACGCGGGGAGCTGCATATATCTTTGCATGTAGTACTTGAGCGACAATCTTGACATTTTTGTTCTTTTGGACACTTGTTGGGACCTGCATTGACCTGCAACGAATAGCTATGTGTCCTAGACGTCCACAGTTCAAGCAGAGACGTACTAGTGGCACATACAGTTCCGGGGTTATTTTGGTTCCACACATGAATATTTCGGTAGGTACACCATCGTATATGATACCAATTTTGATAGTTTCGGTATATTCCAGAGTATTATTTTCATTTTTCCTTGTGAAACGATAAACTGAGACAACATCCATATCGTTATTAGCTTCTATTTGTTGCTTAATGGTAATGGCTGAGATACTTTTTGGTACGTTTTTAATGATGTAAAAGCGCTGAACAAATCTTTCAGGAATGAATGCTTTTAAGCCTATTTGCTTTAAGTTCTTATTTTGCGCAAAATTTTTCGCTGAGTTAGCATTATTAAAGGTTAATCTAAATGTGTTATAACCAATGTTTTTGCAGGCATAATCCATAACATTAATTTTTTGGAATTTGGCATAAAGGTGCAATTCGCAATTTTTCCTCCTTGTGCTTATTGGAGTTTCTGAAGAAACTAGAACAAAAAAAGGGCCAGGATGATACGTGGAATACAAAATGGATTCTTTTTTTAGGATCCCCTACTCCCCCCATTTTAAATTCTTTAAAATTATATTTTTAATTTAAATATGGTGTGAAACACTTGTTTTAAATTAAAAACGAAGACCGAGAAAAACCATTTGTAAGTGTGTGTGTGTTTGCAGGTTTTGGTTTGTTGTTGTTGATGTTAAAAATGAAAGGTAAGCGACCAGCGGGAGAGAGTAGTCTAATGTCAACAAAAGTTGAAGAGCGACTGTTATGTAGTTTTACGAAGCTATTCTACCTCCTTAATGTACCAGCTTAAAGCTGCAGGTACATAAAACTGGAAATACATAAAGCGCATATTTGCTGGCTTAAGTCATCGGCTGGCTTCTTCGTAGATGAACAAAGGAAGTTTAGGTTGACTTAGTTCGATTTTGGCCCTAGGCACCTTTGTTCATTTCCGAAGAAGCCAGCCGATGAACAAAGGAGCCTAGGGTCAAAATCGAACTAAGTCAACCTAAAACTCCTTTGTTCCTCTACGAAGAAGCCAGCCGATGACTTAAGCCAGCCAAATATGCGCTTTATGTATTTCCAGCCTAAGAAGCTTGAAGTCATGGCTAGGCACAAGGTAGATCTAACAGGTAACCGCATCGGCGAATTGCTACAACAAAGCAACTTTTGTGGTCCCCTCAAATGTCAAAATTGGCATCTAAGGCGAAAAACATAGATTCGCCATGACATTTAAAGGTTGCGGCAAATTCAACCAATCAGAAACGATGTGTTTGTTGAGGCTAACTTAATTCTTAAAGCTGCACTCCATTCTAACCTCCTTCCTTCATTTTCTTTTAATTTTTTTTTACTGGTTTCACCCTTAACTTGTTCTTAAATTATTTGAAATATTATAAAAAGGTACTTTTAGGGAAGACAACATAAACAAATTTGTTGTTGCATTCATTTAGGGCGAATTCTTCATTACAACAATTTGTTTTGACATTTAATGGTGCCGTCAGCTGGGCTGATGCGATTACCTAGTACATCTACCTTGGCTAGGCATATTTTGTAACATTTCATAAAGGGAGTACAGAGTCGCACTAAAATCCTGCCGTCGTTATCCATTATAATTTGACATTAATATGCCTAGCCTTGACATCAAGCCTTTTAGGCTGGAACTACATAAAGAGCATATTTGGCTGGCTTAAGTCATCGGCTGGCTTCTTCGTAGATGAACAAAGGAAGTTTAGGTTGACTTAGTTCGATTTTGGCCCTAGGCTCCTTTGTTCATTTCCGAAGAAGCCAGCCGATGACTTCAGCCAGCCAGATAAGCGCTTTATGTATTTCCACCCTTATGTATTTTATATACTTGTACCCTTAAACTCGTTACAAAAAAATTGTCAGCGTAATGCTAGGAACAGAATTGGAGCGAACGACGAATTTTTCGCGGCTTATGTTCGTCGTCAAAAATAAAAAACATATGTGTACATGGAAATGCACACAATCACGGCGCCGGCGAAAATTTCGTCGGACGCCGCGAACTCAATTAGCTTTATTTCTATTTCATACGCAGGCGAATGGCGAACAAAACAATACAAGGTGGCCATACTCCCACGAATTTTATGTGTTTTAGTAAATAAAGTTACTTTTAACTTTAAAATTTGTTATGGTCACTCTACTATCTGTTACTCGTATAAAAAACATAATTAATTTGTTTATTTATTTGTGTACTTGCGCCTGAGTGAAGATGGATATCAGTTAATTTATAATAGAGAAGATGGACATAAGTGAAATTATAATAGAGAATGTAAAGAATTATGAGTTCTTGTATTATTTGGCTTCAAAAGACTACAAGAATGTTCAAAAAAGCAAGCAGATAAGCTTTTACTATAATATACATTATGTTCATTATTTTAACAATTTTAATAAACTTTACAATTCTCTGATTCATTGTAGTCAACAAATGAGCAAAAAGTAAACAACTTCATCAGCTGTTTTATAATTTCGTCGGTATTGTCGCCGCGTAGGGCGAAATTCGTCTTTCGCTCCAATTGTGTTCCTAGAATAAGTTTTTGCTTTAGTACAGAATCCATATATCAGGTATTGTGAAGATTTTAGTAACACTTTTAGCTGGTAATTCTGGGTGTTTGATCCCTAAAGGCAGACCAAAAGTAAATCCTATTTGGAGGCTTACACAAGAACTAACATCCTTGAGATGAAGGGTTTAAAATCTCTACTTTTATATGTTTAAGCCCAAGAATATATAAATAAATATGGACTTCCTAAGATATGGAACGTATAAAGGTTTCGACAGGACTCTTCGTAGAGGAACAAAGGAGTTTCAGGTTGACTTAGTTCGACTTTGGTCTTACACTCCTTTGTTCTTTTTCGAAAAATCCAGTCGATGACTTAAGCCTGTCAAAAAAAGCGTTTTATATATTCTCACCTTAACCGTTTTTACGTGCCAAGGAGCGAAGAAAATAGAATATTATTTATTAATTTTGTAAAATCTGCCACTTGTCACATGCAATTATTTTAAAGAGATTTTAGTTGAAAAAAAAAAAATGACCGACCAAAATTGAATTGACCAAAAAAAATTACACTGCCTTTACACGGTGACATTTTTTAACCATGCCATTTTTTTGTTGGTAAAAAGTGTAGAGAGACAGGGATAGAAGAAAAAATGGCACGATAAGCCACCGCACAGGGTTACATGCCATTGTCTCTGCATTTCTCTCTTTGCTTCTTCTGAATTTTTTTTCATCATTTCTTCTTTAGATTCAGACATTTAATTTTAAATCACTTTATAAATATCTGTTACAAACATTTAGCTCTATACGAAATACTGAATAAAATAAAATGTCAGAAAAAATGCCAGGCACTATTATCGTAAAATGCCACCGTGTAAAGGCGCGAAGATTTTCGCAGAAATTTTAAAAGAGAATTGATAAAAATGCCAGCTAAAAATTGCACCGTGTAAAGGCAGTGTTATAAAATAAATCAGACTAAATTTGTTCGGAAATTGCCGACACGGCAACACTGCATTTTATGACTATTGTTGTTGGGATTTATGTGAAAGAACAGGAGACGCTCAAAAAAAAAAAAATATGACAAAGAGAATCAAAACCTTGTAAATTTTTTACTGAGGAAGGTTTCATTTAGAATAAAATCTTATTGAAAAAGTTAAGTTCTTAAATAAAAGCTGGATAGTGAACCACTAAAGCAGAAACCCCACAAAAATTAAAAAAAAAAACAAAAGGTTTGTACTAGTATTACCGGCCAAGTTCGCGGATTGGATTTCCACTGCACCTAGACTTAATCTAGGAATTGGTTCCACGTTCGTTGGCTTTTATTCGAATACATCTGTATCGTCTAAAAATTCCACCGGTAGAAATTGATGAGTGTGAGAATGAGGAAAACTTCACATTCAACAAAAATTGGTAAAATTAAGAAAGTTTACTGTCAAAATTTCGTGTAAGTCTTGCCAAGTCTTCTTATTTCTATAGTTAATGGTATCCATTTATTGCAGCACATATGGGGAATGTGTTTTCCATCCGACCGAATATCTTAATGTCGTCATTGGACCCAACGGTACGGGGAAGTCCACACTAGTCTCAGCCATTGTTCTGGGGCTTGGTGGAGATCCAAAGATTCTAGCACGCTCCAGTTCAATTGGTGACTATGTTAAAAACGGTTGCGAGTCTGCAAGAGTAGCGGTGGAAGTCTATGGCCAAGGGGAAGATACGACAAACTTTCAACGCAGCTTTGATCTAAACGGGAAGTCACAATTTTCAATTAACAATCAAACAGTAACTCAAAGAAAATTCCTGGAATCTGTAGACAATTTCAAAATTCAAGTAGGGAACCTATGTCAATTTTTACCACAGGATCGAGTTCAGGTACGAAATACTTGGTTTTTCTTGCATCTTTTTCTAACAAGCATGTTTCCATTAAAAGGACTTTGCTAAAATGAATCCCCAAGAAATTCTTTTGAACACCATTAATTCTGTATGCAGCCCAGATGTTATCAACAATTTTCAAAAGCTTAAAGATCTTCGTCACTCTCAGGAAAATAAGAAATCCGAATATAAAGATTTAAAGCAAAAACTTGATAGCACTTTAGCCAGAGTTGAAGAGTAAGTAAATTGTAAAAGCATTTTCGGCTGTTAATTGTACAATGTGTCATAGCAGATATAAATTTGCATAATTTTCAAATTCCACGATAATTTTTACAATCTATAACCGCAAAGAGTTATTTATCCTGACAAAATATGATATATACATCGAGACTTCTAACCGACTAGATATGGCAAACATTACATACTCTTATCGTAACATGGACCCAAATCCAACGTTTTTAAAAATTGTGAAATAGTATAATTCTAAACTGAAATGTGTTATCAAGCAACTTATTTGTCAAGTCACCATAAAATTTGTGGTGGTGTATAGTTTTCGTTTTGTTTAAATATTGTAGATCTGCATATTTTTAATAGTTTTGGGTACTAAATTGCAGCTATTACATTATTAATTTTTTAAGATAACGTCTTCCATTGATCCGAAACATTGAATAAAAAAGTTTTCCCGCTAGGTGTGTATTTAAACCTCCCACATCTGTCAAAGGCAATGCTTAAACTTTCAATGTCCAGATCGCATATTGAAAAAACTAGATTTTCACAACTTTTAAAAATGTCAGGTCCTAATACATAAAATTACAAGGCTTGGGCTTATTACAGGGTCCTTGACAAATACCAATGTATTAAGCACGTGATGCCCTCCTCAAGTTTTAGATCAGGTTTTGACAAGGACAATAGCGATTTTTCTACCCTGAGAGAGAATGGATCAGATTCCTTTGAGTACATTACATCCCCTTTCATCTAGCCATTTTTATTAAGCTCTCTCAGGGTAGGGTCTATGAATTACGTGGAAGAAGTGGCACAAGGGTGGTTTAACCTAGTTCTCAACTTCAATAACAGCAAGTTCGGAACGCAGCCTGGCCAATTAATCTGCCATCTCATTGCCTGGAATGTTGTAATGACTTGGAACCCAATAAACAACCCAATATTTTCCAGCCGTAGACTAAATAGCAAAAGAGTTTAAAGCTTTCAGTGCCGCTTGAGCTTTGTCAATACTTCGTAAATAAGATGACTTATTTCAAGAGTGCCACCAGACCAGAGCTCCATAACATAGGATGGGGCGAACAATAGGCCTGTAAACCCAATTAATTATGTGTGGTTTGAAGCCCAGCTTTTACCTATAGAGTTCTTGCAAGAATAAAGTGCAATTAAGCCTTCCTTTGCTGGTTCCCTCGGCGTTTCTCTTTATTTTTAGATGGTGGTTGAGGATGGTGCCGTGGTATTTGGCTCCAAAGCATAGTTTTAATGTGACTCCATCTAACATCGGTGGTATGAAGGTGGACAAGGACAGGAAGAGGACAAGCTCTGTGTTTGATGGGCTTACACCTAGTGCATTGCGACTTGTCCACCTTGATAAGGTGACAAGACCCCCTGCATCAGATCAAAGATAGTTTGCAGGAATTTTCCAGCAATCAACAGGACAACATCATTAGCATAAACGACTACCTTTGTCCCAGTTTTCCCTAGATCTATGAGTATATGGTTGATAACCAGAAGCCAGAGCAATGGTGATAGAACACCGTCTTGCGTGCCCCTGGTGACCGATTTCCTGACGGTTATTTCCCTAATGCTTGAGTTGATAATTCTTCTACTAAGCATTGTATAAATTCAATTTATGAGGAGTTGGGGTACCCTGAATCTTAAAAGGGAATCATGAAGGGATTCTAGTGTGACGTTGTTGAAGGCTCCCTCAATATCAAGGAAATTTGCCACGGTAAACAAGGAGTCATTCAATGGCATTAGTATCGTTGCTGCCCCATTGAAAGTGGTGGGCGTTGGCATCGCAGCCTATGGTGAGATGCCCTTTGCCGTCCAGATCTGTGAGCAGCTTCTCTACTTCGTGACGGGAGGTCGCGTCGCAGGTACGGTAGGTACAGAGATATGAAGATGAGGAGCCTCCCGGATTTTGTCTCCAGTCTCGCCACCGTAGTATCTCCTCCACTGAAACTAAAGAAGAAAGAGTATAGACCTATTCTTTTTAGCAACGATGCACGTTCTTACCTTTTCACTATTGGGGACAAGTGTTTGTGTTCTGCAAATCTGGTTCCAGCTCCAGGATTTGAGATTCGTCTACTTTAGTGGACTGTAGCCAGAGATCTACTGGAGTGAGTTGGGTAGGTTTGGCTGTGCAATTAAAGAGGTGTAGCTTAGTGCGAGCCTGTATCACACGCCGGGCAGGTGTCACGCATATCTTCATCAATTCGTGCCCAATACGAATTGAGACGATTACACCATCCTGAATGTAATTGCGCCAAAACTAATATGATGGTTGGGAATGACTCTCACGGTAACACCCAAGCAGGTACTGCAACGAAACAATATAATTATGCTGACGTATGGGAAGGTCTTTCGACTCCTCATGTAGATGGTCCACATGTGTGATGAGAACGCACCCTGTCATAGTTCTCAGGGTAGCGTTCTGGCAGGTCTGGATGTGCTTCCACTGCGTAGCACTAGTATTCGCAGACCACACTGGAACCGCACAGCTGGCTTCAGACCGACCTTTCGCCTTATAAGAGGTCAACAAGGTTTCCTTGTCCGCACCCCAAGTGCTGCCGGCTAGCGCCTTGAGGACTTTGTTCCTACTTTTCATCTTGTCGTAGATAGCTGTGGCTTGCGCGGACGACTTGAACATGCTGTCGAATGTGACCCCTAGAATCTTTGGGTAGTTCGTGGTCGGGATAGGGGTTCAGCTTTTCACATATGTCATAGACTACTGGGCCCGACGCCATGATCGTACAATCTTCCGCATACGTTATGATCTCAACGTCGTCTGAAGGGCGAGGAATTCCGGAAAGGTAGAGGTTAAATAGTTCCGCAGATATCACCCCACCTTGGGGAACTCCCTGTTTCACTCTTGTTCCGCAATTCCACGTACGACTGGTGTCCACACATATAGTTGATTATCCAACGTTTCAAACTTGGCCGGAGGGTGGTTCTCTGCACGTCCTCAAACAGTATGGCAAGATTGACCGTATCAAATGCGTTTGATAGGCAAAGGGCTGCTAACACTGTTCTGTCACACGGCTTGTTCTGGTTCAGTCCTCTACCAACATATGTGGAAATGGCGTGTAACGTTGTTGTGGTACTATGTTGTGGTGGACGGAATCCGTGCTGATGGTTCGCAGCTGGATAGCTTCCTCTAATTCTAAGGAGGAGTAAAGTCTTGAGAGTCTTAGCTACTGACGACAAAAGCGAAATTGGCATCTACGATTCGCCTTTGCTGGCATCCTTGCCTAGCATCAGTAGCGGGACCACCCGACCCATTTTTCAGGCTTCGGGAACTAGCGACAAGTTGAGAACTTTCGTCAGGTACTCAACTTCTGGCGTATCCAGTTGATCTAGCATTACCATTGAGATTCCGCCTAGGTCTAACGCTTAAGATGACTTAGCGCTCCGAATGACATTTGCAACATCACCCATCGTAAACTGTGGTGGTTCCTCCTCGGCGGGAGAGATCTGATACGACGTAGTACTCTTCGCTTCGGCCTGTCGTTCTTGGGGTGCTCGACAGCCCGTCGTTAAAAATGACAGATGTTCTATCGGCCTTTTTTCCAGAGTTCGAGAGTGATTTAACCGTTACCCAAAGCTTACTCATTTCAGTTCCAATGATGCAACACCTCAGGTGGTCTAGCCACTTTTTCCTCTTATGCTCCTGTAATTTGCTCTGCTACTAATAGTGGGCATTAAATCCCCTTGGCCATTACCTACCAACAATCACCTGGTACTAAGGGATTTTAATTTCCACCATGAATTGTTGCATTCCGTCCTAGGTATTGACCAGAGATCAGCGCTGGTAGAGCAGATTGACTGTTCCACATTCTGCACGGTAAACGAGGAATTCCCTTACACGAATAATAGGAGAGTGTCACAATTCGGCAGGCTTAACGATAGTGTCACTCAGTATTTTGATGATTTTAGCGACATTATTCACCGGAACTGCCTTAAATTTCGTATTTAAAATTCCTAATGGGTACTAGGACAAAAAAATTTCTATACATGTCCTCGTCTTCGTACCGCAACCATATAACAGTATCTCCTTTTTTTAAGATTTTAGCCACATTATTCACCGGATTTGTTGAAAATTTCGTATTTGATGTTCGTAATGAGTACTACAACCTATGACCGAAAATTGTCTTCGTATTGCCCACATATAACGGTACCTCTCTTGAACCTCCCTTTATTCTGTATTTTGATGATATTAGCGACATAATCCACCAAAATGATATTTCCACCTATGCTAACTTTTTTCGAATAAATAAAACCCTCCTTTTAATATATAAAGCTCTCTTGCCAATTTTTCATTCCGTTCGTAGTGTCTTATATTAATCATTCTGGACCCCGTGAAGTTGAAGTCTTGATCAGCATAGTCGACTTATACATGTCTGTCTATTTTTATTACTAAGTGATATAGCAAAATTTTGCATGTATTTGCATTTTGTCAATCGATTCAAACTATGATATATTGTTCAAAGTTTTGTTTCCATTGATTTCCATTTATTTGCATGATTCTACATTAAAATGTGCCATATTTACGAGTAACTCCAACGTAAATTATCTTTAAGTTATATTTATTACCAATAAAGAAATTATCTTTAATTATATTCTTCTTTTATCATTTAGATTAAAAGATCAATTGCAGCGTTATAATGCTCGTAAAGATATACAGGACAAACTTGGCGTTTGTATGGCAAAGAAACTTCGCTTGGAAATTGAAGATATTCAAAACAAGATATCCGATCTTGAAAATGATTTGGGGTTGGCGAACGAACGTTTTGCTGCTTACGAACAAGAGTATCAAAATATTATTAAAAAACAGTCGATGATCGACAGTACAACAGACAAACTGAAAAAGGAGATTGAGGAAAAGGTAATACAAATGATATTAGCTTCAAGTCCATTCTAGTTCATAAGCAGCTTTACAACAGTTTATCAGTCTTGATTCTCCTAAAAAACAACTAGTATTTTTAAAATCATTAAAAGATTTCTTTATAAACCATATGCAGTTTTTAACCAAAAACTAATTTTGCATTCGCCAAAGATTACTGTTATGCCGAGTAAAGAGACAAAAGAAAAAATTGAGATTAAGAGTTAGAACCAATTGAGACTCATGCGGCTTTAGGCGGTCACACTTTGTTAAAAAAAAAAAACGCAAATTTGATTCTTTTTTTTTTGTACATGTTTTTTGATAAAATGTTCAGAAATATAATGTTCGCGTAGAAAGAGTCCAGTCTAAAAATTAAAAGAGCCCAAGCCTTATGACTACATTGTGTACATATTTGGATGAATTCCGAATTGAAGTCGATCGAGCACTCTCTATCCTTAGTTTTTTATATTTCTTGACGTTGCAGTATCCGATTTTGTCTTTGAACTTCGTGACATTTCTTTAAAACGTTGATCGAGCTCGAAGATAGACGTATGGTCAACATTTTAAAATATCGTAAATCAAATATAAAGTTTGAGGAGCACAACCACGTTCAAACTTTGAACATCAACATATTTGTATCATGTTTTAGTGAGTTGTGAAAATGGAAAATATCTGTCCTCTCACTTAATATATGTGAAACAATTTTCATATTTTCTTTATGTTTTGACCAAATATCTTTACCAAAATTAGATCAAATTAGATCAATTATAAAAATGGAATAAATATATTATTGCAAGCTTCCCCACAAATGGTCGAAATTGTGGAAAATAATTTCTAAAATAAAAACTGTCTTCATTTCCCAAACTTCCCAATATTTCTATTTCCTATATTGGTTTTCTTACCTTTTTCAAAAATTGCAAATCCTGAATCCCATATAAAGACGAGTATTTTTAAGTAGGATATATTGACCATTTTTTTCTGATAAGAAAGCAAGGTCTCCGATTTAAAATAATTTTTAAGTATTTTATATAATAATAATAATTCCTGTTTCTCATCTAAACCTACTTTACTAGCCCTGATGTCATTATGGGCTCAACTCATAAGGGTTACTTCCTTTTCCTTGAGAATGACACATAGGGCTATGGGCCCTTCCGCGTTTTAAATTCGAAAACTAAGATAATTTGTACTCATTACGGGAAGAACAGCGAGAAAGGAATATGGCAACGAATATGCAATTAGAGAAACTTCGCGGAAGCGAAAACTTTGAAGACTGGTGGACAAGTCTGTTTATCCTCACATACGAGAATGTGCAAGTGCAAAAGAAATATGGAGTGCATTAGCAAAAATTTATGAGGGCAATGCCCTGGTCAGAAGAGTTGGATTAATTCAAAAATTCTGCTCAACAAAATTGGAAGATTTTTCAAACGTTGAGGAATATATGAATGAGATAATCAACTCGGCTCACAAATTAAGGACTGTTGGACTGAATGTCGACGAAGAGTGGATTGGATCAATGCTATTAGCCGGATTACCTGATGAGTACAAGCCCATGATTATGGGGATTCAAAGCTCGGGTTCAAAAATAAAAGGCGACGCTATAAAATTGAAGATTTTGCAAGATGTTAGGAATGAAGCACCAGAAATGACTCTTGCTGGTAATAAAAAGAAAATTTGCAAACATGCCAAAGGACCGAAGTGTTATAATTGCAATAAATATGGTCATATATCCGCCAAATGCCCGGAGAAACCATCAAAGAAAGATGCTAGAAATTCTGCGATGGGTGCTTTTGCGGTTCGTAAACTAAGCAACAATGATTGGTACTTCGATTCCGGTGCCACAGCCCATATGTGTTCAAATAGGGAATTTTTCAGTGATCGATATAAAAAAAAATTTGGAGGTAATTATTGCAAATAACTCTACAATGCGTGTCGAGGGAATTGGAAACGTCGACATGGTTTCATTGGTGCGAAACTCCAAGATAGAAAAAACTTATTTTAAAGACGTTCTGCACATACTGTCAGTTTCAAAAATTGTCGAGAACGGATTCAAAGTTGAATTTGATGCAAAAGGCTACCGAGTTATCAACAATTGTGGCGATATTATTGTTACAGGAGATTTGGTTGAAGGAATGTTTCGAATGAATTGTTCAAGTAAAACAGCTATTGTTTCTCAAGGTAAGATTGAAGAAGGCAATTTGTGGCATAGGCGAATCGGTCATGTCAACAATGATCAATCAGGTACGGGATTCGCACCGACGAATAATATAAGATCAACAAGAATGTCAAGACCAACAACAAGGTATGGACATGTGTGTCATGTATCAAGTGAATATGAGGAACCAAAGACGGTACAACAAGCGTTGGGAGGAAACAAAAGCCAAGAGTGGAAAAAGGCAATGGATGATGAACTAGCAGCTTTATCAGAAAATAAAACTTGGGAATTTACTGAATTGCCAAAAGGAAAAACACCAATAGATAGTAAATGGTGCTTTAAGGTAAAACGCAACTCGAATGGAGAGGTTGAGAGGCACAAAGCTAGACTAGTTGTGAAGGGATACTCTCAAAAATACCGAATAGACTACGAAGAAACGTTCTCTACAGTGGTGAGGTATTCTTCAATACGTCTGCTTTTAAGCTTGGCAGTTCAGTATAATCTTGACATAGACCAAATGGATGTAGTAAAAGCTTTCCCGCAGAGTGAACTGGAAGAGGAAATATATACGAAAATTCCAGAACGTCTTGAGGAAAACAAAGGAAAAGTTTGTAAACTAAAGAAGTCATTATATGGTCTCAAACAAGCTAGCCGGGTTAGGAACAAGAAATTACATGGGACGTTAAAGAAAATTGGATGACATATTGATCTTGACGAATAATTCTGAATCCAAACAACATATTAAGAATTTCTTGTCAAGAAAATTTAAAATGAAAGATATCGGTGCAGCAAGTTACATTCTGGGCATGAGAATCACAAGAGATCGTGAAAATGGAAAATTGTGGTAGGACCAGGAATTGTACATCAAAAGTGTACTGAAAAGATTTAATATGCAAAATTGTAATTCTGTTTCTACGCCACTAGATGTACATCAAAAATTAAAAAAAAATATTAACTCTTCGAAAATGGACCATGACGTACCTAATCAAGAAGCTGACGGATGTTTGTCTTATGCTGCTCAGGTCAGTCGCCCCAATATATCATATGGAAAACCACACTGGGAAGCTGTCAAACGGGTAATGAGATACCTCAAGGGCACAATGGATTACAAACTTCAATTTTCGAAGGATGATGATACCAACTTTATAGAATGCTTTTCAGATGCAGACAGGGCAGGTGACCTTGATGATAGAAAATCTACATCTGGACATGTTTTCAAATTTCAGAATGGTTGCATTTCATGGAATTCAAGGAAACAATCAACAACGGCATTGTCTACTACCGAAGCCGAATACATGGCAATGGCCGCATCTGCGCAAGAAGCATTATGGTTGGGATCGCTATTTAAAGAACTTGGAAATTCTTCTTTCATCAGCATAAATGTGACAATCAAAGTGCAATAAGTTTGAGCCATAACAGTACATACCATGCACGCTCAAAACACATCGATATAAGACACCATATCATTATGGAAGAAATTATGTATCGAATATCTAAACACAAATGAGATGGCCGCCGATATTCTGGTTGGTTGCATTTCATGGAATTCAAGGAAACAATCAACAACGGCATTGTCTACTACCGAAGCCGAATACATGGCAATGGCTGCATCTGCGCAAGAAGCATTATGGTTGGGATCGCTATTTAAAAAAATTGGAAATTCTTCTTTCATCAGCATCAATGTGACAATCAAAGTGCAATAAGTTTGAGCCATAACAGTACATACCATGCACGCTCAAAACACATCGATATAAGACACCATATCATTATGGAAGAAATTATGTATCGAATATCTAAACACAAATGAGATGGCCGCCGATATTCTGGTTGGTTGCATTTCATGGAATTCAAGGAAACAATCAACAACGGCATTGTCTACTACCGAAGCCGAATACATGGCAATGGCTGCATCTGCGCAAGAAGCATTAGGGTTGGGATCGCTATTTAAAAAAATTGGAAATTCTTCTTTCATCAGCATCAATGTGACAATCAAAGTGCAATAAGTTTGAGCCATAACAGTACATACCATGCACGCTCAAAACACATTGATATAAGACACCATATCATTATGGAAGAAATTATGTATCGAATATCTAAACACAAATGAAATGGCCGCCGATATTCTTACGAAGCCATTATCAGGATTGAAACACCTGTGTTGCTGTGAACTGATGGGATTAGGAGTTCAATCTAGTGGGGGTGTTGAAAAAGAAGAATGAACTTCCTAATACTGTACATAATATTACGTTGAATATTGTATTTAAAAATATCTAGTTACCATACGTTTGTCATGTTATACAGAAAATTAAAAATTAAATTGTCATTCGTTGTAAAACCTTTAACACAATAACAATAACCAAAAGATTATACTGAAATGAAAGCATACAGGTATTCTGAGCAAATATCGGGTAAAGATGAAGAGGGATAAATTGAAGCATGACAATAACAATGAATGAATGAAATAATGATACAAAACAGCTCATATCATGAGACATTATAAAAAAGACATTGCAGGGACAAAAGTTCCCACATTCGACTTGAATTATCAAAAATATCATCAAGCAGAGCTATACATATATGCTTCTTTTATGAACTTGAAAAGAAATCGAATATATTTAAATTTGCGTACCCTCATGGAACTTAAAACCATTTTAAACAAGTAAGCAAAGGCTACAGTCGAGCGTGGCCGACCGTTGAATACCCTACAACAATATAATAAAAGATACAGTTTACATAGGCGAGATACTCGAAAGAATTCCACAAGATATTGTGAGAAATAATAAAAGAAAACCATCAGGTTTCGTTCACTAATTTTCGAATAATAGCAACTTAAACTAATTTGCTCATTTGG